GAATCCTAGGGTTTCTTCCGAACACATGCTGATGTGGAGTGTGGCCGTAATATTGGATCATGCTGTTCTTAACATGTGAGTGAATCACACATTCTTCCCATTGTTCTTTATTGTCTGGACAGTGTTCACTCATGACTTTAGTGAGGATGCGAGCAAACCAACCACCGTGATTCTCGGTCCTACCTAGCTGCCAATGTGCTTCACCCGGGATCTGTTTGACCTCAGTGCCTTGCAAGTCCAAAAATTCTTGGAGGGCTTCTCCCATGTTGGTTTGCGCCTGATCGATCAAGATGACTCTAGGTGGGCCAAAAACACGAATCCAGTTGTCGGCAAACAGCTTTCTCAACACCTGCGAAGTTTCTGTTTCGTGGAAAGGCAACATCAACTGATAACAACTACCGTGGCAAACGATGTTTAGAGCCTTGACCTTTTGATTGGTTTTCCATCCGGGAAGAAATTTCACATCCATACCGATCGTGTGATTGAAAGAGTCGATTCTACTGGACTTGGCTGGCAAGGACGCATGAGGCCGAATGTGGGTCTTGCACAATTCGCACTCATAGCTTCTGGCTAGCGAGATAGCTCGGTCACTGGCCTGAGCATGTTTCAAGATGCGAATAAGATCGTGTCCCGGAGGATGACCGAGGTTACGATGAAGTCGATCGAGAACATGTTTGATCTGTTGGTCCGAAGCTTGTTCACTATCGAGATCAGCTTTGAGGGCCAACACTTCACGATCATTTGAACTAGGCCATGACTCACATTCCACTAGAGAGGCTGCCAATGTTTTGCAAAAGCACGGCGCTGTCTCTAACACAGCTTGTACAAACTGATGTGGGTATTGACCTGCGAAGGTGCTAATGGACCCCACTTTGGGACATGAACCTGCAATCGGCTGATGACATGCATGTCGAACATTCGAACTCCCTGGACATTCTTTCGCAAGGCATGACATGTCCTGATGACTTACTAGAAGCATGGTAGGCTTGCGAATGAGTTTGTTTGACATCGGAAGGCGAAGGCCGAATCGACACATGTGGCATTTGAGAGCCGTGCATTGCTCTGCTAAGTCTTTCACCTCTGGATATCTCCACAACCTGGAGCCGAGCGGATGTTCGAGTATTGCTCTTTTCCCGTGAGACAATTGTTGCCAGTACAGCTTAACACAGAAGCGAATGTACATGCGACTCTGAGCGATCCTACAAGTGAGCTCATGTTGATCCATGTAGGCAGAGTTCAAGTTGAACCATCCCCCTTCATCAGTACATGGTGGGCACAACACAAGAAGTTCGGGGGGGCATTCATCCAACTCTTTGGTCACCAGATCTCTATCAGCTTTGGATCGAAAGTCAAAACCATTCTTGAGGTCATATGAACGAGCTGAGAACCCATGTTGGTGAGCAACCGTGGCGAAACGAGGAGGCGAAAACACTTCGGCTACCAAAAGGGGTTTTCCGTCCAACCGAGAGATCCTCTCACTGTGACACGTCCGAACCTGTCGTTCCAGTTGCCGGAGATGGTGGACCGGCAGAGTCTCCACCTTCGAGGAGACTTCCTGAGGGACAAACATGAAATCAGTTCTGGTGCGCATGGTGTTCTCCGGCAAGCTTCGACAGTACTTCTTCTTACCTAGTTGCGGTTGAATAGCCTCGTCATAAACGACTGTGTTCGTGTCCAGATTCGTGACTCGGCGACGACGGACGGAAGACCAATATGGGCCATGCTTTCCTATCGAGGGAACCTGCTTAAGGCAGTGATCTTCACGGCTCCAAACCATCAGTTGTTCCTCGCCTGGATCAGAAGGCGGCACGGGCGGAGATGCAGAGTCAGATGGCTGCGGTTCACTAGGCAGGTCGGTTGGCTCCAACTGCATGACTTCGGAAAAGGGCTCCAAAGTCACATCGTGCTCACCCAGAAGATCCACGGTGAATTGTCCAGCTTGGTTCACCGACAACGGAACAGTGGTGCGATCGTCAAACACGGTCAAGGCACTTGCTTCGAAATCGATGACTGCTTTCAATGTCTTCAGAGCATTACGGGAGATCAACAAAGGGGCTGTGCCTTGCACAATCGCAGCTTTGATGGTGCCAGCACGTCCTCCGAGACGGACCGGCACCTGGACAGCCAGCTGAGTGGTTTCTTTTTGCCCATTCCCGAACTTGAAGTGGTTGACCTCGGAGAAGGGAACTGGAATCTTCCAACCACGGTCACGCCACAAGGCTTCAAACTCTTGCAAAGTTGAAGCTCCAATAATCGATCTACCACAACCACTGTCCAAAACCCCAAACCCCGGGGAACTGACCAACAACTGTTCAATGCTTGTCGACTGCTCAATGCTCAATGTTGTAGGAGAAGGGACAGGTTCAGATGTTACTGTCACCCTCTTGGGTTGTTGATTCCGCAGCCATTGAAGCGACAGCCAGTTGTGATCAGAGACTGCCACCATAGCCACAAAGTCTTCCACCAGCGCGGCTCCGGTCTCAGAGCCTTTGGCACTTGTGAAGGAAGGTTTACCTCCCTTGCCATGACCTTTGGGTTGCTTGCACTCCCGAGCCCAATGACCTACTTGTCCACAGCGGTTGCACTTCGTACGACGTTTCATTTCCTCAATCTCCACCTTGAAGCTCCGCTTTGCATCTCCAGCTTGAGAGAATTTTCGAGCACGGCGAAGGGACACCATCTCTTTGCGGCGCTCCTTCCATGAGACTGCAAGAGCTTCTGCGACATCCTGTTCCTCAAAGAATTCTTCAGGATCAGCTGAGGGCTCAACTTGATGTTCAGCCAGGAATTGTTCCATTTCAGCAATCGTCGCATCAGCATCATCCCATTCAGGCCCCATTTCTTCCTCTTCGATGGCAGCGATAGCGGCAGGCGATCGTTTCTTGCCTACTATCAACTCAGGATAGCAAGATCGCATTGCCTTGCCAACCTCCTCTCGTTTCAGCACACCCAAGGAGCGGGACAGCACGACCGCCTTTTGTTCGTCTGACAGCCCCGCACGATGGAGGATGAGCCACCCTCGTGCTTCCTCTGGAAAGGAGACGTTCACCTTCCGCTGCACCCGATCAAAGAGTTCGGTAGCCCTGGAAACCCAGGCCTTCAGCGACTCACCTTCGTGAGCTCTGAGCTGGAACACCTCGGTGAGGATCTCCGACATCACGTCTGACTGATCCTTTTGGGGAAAACGTTGGTCCAGGAGGTCAAAAAGGGCCTTCTCGCCGCCAGTTTTCTGGTACACCGACGGCTCCAAATGCTCAACACATTCCAGAGCTTTGCCAGCTAGAAGTGTATACACGTAGGCGCCTTTTGCATTGTCCGGCATTTTTTCCCCCAAAGTCAACATTTTATTTGTCACCCAGGTACGCCAGCGTTTGTATTCTCGAGAATCTTCGGAGTCGCCGCTAAAGGTCCTAAGGCCAGTGCTCTCAGAGGATGAAGATGCCATGGCATTCATGCTGGATCCGGTCGAGTCCTATCGAACCGGAGCCCCGGACAGCCGGGGCTCCGCTACCAATAACAAAACTGGAAAACGTCGGATCCTACCGACCCAGACGGGCACGTCACGCTCATTTTCCTCCTGAGCATACGAACGGTCCCTGCGGTCCACGATGAGATGCATTCATGCTGGGCAATCAACATATATATATATATCTATTCTATATAGGATTCGAATGGATTCTATATAGGTATTCTAAATTCTAACGGTGATTGCTTCCTTCCTTCCTTCCTTCCTTCCTTCCCTGAGTCCCACCATGTCAGTCACTTGAGCGCAAAGCCTATGGCGCCGGAGACCCCCCAAAAGATCGGGCTAAGTCAGGACTACAACGGGTATGACGATGAGTGGTCGGACGATGAGTGTCTTGAAAGGGCCTGAAAGGGGCCTGCACCTGAAGATGGAAGAAGGTGGAATAATATGTTTGCTCATTGCATGCCAGGTAGTCTCTGTGAGATGCAGGCTCTAAGGAAGAACAATATTGTTATAGAAGGACTAAGCAGGTGAAAATCCTGGAAAAACATGTTGAATATCAAACTGAGCTGCCCCACATGCCGACGTCCAAAGCTGGCACTTGCTCCCATGCTGCTGATGCAATGTCCGATGTATTCCATGTGTTTCTAAGCAGCTGATCGTATAGGGGGTCTCTAATTATTGATTATCTGACTTGTAGTGGCTCATCCGATGAAGACTTGAAGGTTTTGTGAAGTAGCTTGCTCGATTCGTCGAAGTGGTGCGCCTGTTGAGCTGGCTAGTTAGGATGGATTTGGCATGTTCTTTGCGAATTAGTTGATTTTATTGTAACTTGCTACTAGTATGACTCAAAACATATAACAAAGATTAACAAAGGTCCTTCCCAACCCCACTGACGGACTCTTTTCCAAGCATGGGTCTTGGTTTTGAGTCAAAGGCCGCCGCCAGCAGGCGTCCAAACCCACTGTGGGTCAAAGGACATGCCAGGACTTGATGAGATGGTTACGGATCGGTATATCTGTACATGTCCTGTTCTTTGGTAGACGCTTCAATGCATCAAAAGCTCAACGACCCGCCGGCGGCTTTCTCAATGACCCCAGGTGGCTATATGGGATCATGTTGGCTAACATTGTCTGAGCATCAGAGACCGTCAATGATGACCCTCATGTCTCCCATCTACATTGTTTGAGCTCCACACATATCTGCTTGGATCCGTACTGTACGCTTTGAATCACCGTTGACACACCCGATGTGGCTCACTCAGTGGTGGCTTCACAAAGAGTTCACACACAAAGGTGTGAAAAAAAATGTTCAAAACACTGACGTGAACTGACCCAAAACACCCATGTTCATCACTTAGGATCACTTGAAGACTTAGGTGTCTGATGGTGTCTCATCATGTCTCAAACTTCATACATCTTCATAACCAACATTCGATCCAATCAAAGCAGCTTGTGGAGTCCCTCCCCCTTCATCGGCCACACCCCCGTTCGCAGACTCGCAGCGCGGCGCGACGAAAGCGGCAGGATCGCACCAGTTCCTTCGTCGGAGCCTGCGAGCACGGCACGATGTGCCGTTGCGCATGTGTGCGCGAGCACGCCCGGGCATGCACCACAAGGGGAAGCAATGGAGAAACTGTGCATTGAGAAGCGCACCTCGAAGAGCAATGACCTAAGAATGCGGTTTCAGTGCCAATCCAGCTCTATATACTGTCCAGCTGTTACAGAGAGGCATCATTTGGATGAGATGCCAGTGGATGCCAGTGGCCTCTGAAGTCTTCTTGGGAACTCGTCTCTGGACCTGACCTGCATTTGTCTCCCAAACAATGGCGCCCTCGCTCTAAACCAAACCGGTCTCCTTGGGTCGCTCTCATCGGTGCTTCTTCGCCGCTTCGTCTCGCTCGAACAAACGCTCCAGGCGCTCCGGACAAGGGCCTCACCGCCAAGACGCTCTCCACCTGCCGATCGAAGACGCCCGCGGTGGCGCGGCGGTAGCCGGTTCCGCGCGAGCGGTCGAGACGGCGCCTCGCTCCGGCTGGTACCTGGCGTCGCAGAGGGGACCGGCCAACCCGAAGAATCTAAGGCGCTAGCTATGCAAAGCTATGCAAAGCTGGAATCCAATGGGGTTTAGAAGTGTAAGTAGAGGATGTAGCTGCAAGTCTATAACTGGGATCCACAGGGGTATGCTGAATTCAGACAACCCGAAGCCAGAATTATGATATCGGTGCTGACAACCACACACACGTTATGGTGCGTCCATTGATCCGACATCCTGGTGTGTAAGGTTCTTCCCGAGTCTGAGCAGTGAACAAAACTTCAATTAATATTAATTTATTGCAAGATATGAATTGAAAACACTGATTAGTGATCAATAATTTATTGTGGAAACTTCAATTTATTGCAAGACATTGCAAGTTTCCACAATGCCGGAAACAAAAATGGTCTGGGAGTTGTCGTCTCCCGTCGATCTATGTACCGTGAATCTTTCATCTTTGCCGTCGATCCGTGAACTATGGCAACTTTTTGCAAGTGAGAATTCCATGTGAGTGGCGGACAAAACTTCTGACAATTCTTCTTTGTGTCCCCAACGCCAAAAGTATCTTGGGTTGGCTCCTATCGGTTTCAGTGCTTTGGAATGCAGGCAATGAGCTACAAGTATACTATGCTTTCAATCAAGGAAGGGTATAGGGTTGGCCCCTATCCCATCTCTTTTGCAAGGTTTTCTATCAAACACACTTAAGGCAGCTTGTTACTAAAGTACTTTGTACGGAAGGTTTGTCGGACGCTCTACACATAAAATACCATAGCCTATAATTACCCCTTTCTGACGATGGATCTCTGCGGATGATCAGTTCCTTCAAGCCCAGCCTAAAACCAAAGGAACCTCGTTGATGGCCAGTAGCACAAGCCCAGGTCTGAGATCCTCAAAGACGGCACCATGAGTACCTCACATACAGTCTCACAGACTACGAGACATTGCGGAAATTGGTGCTTGATTTGTCGCTTGAGGTCCTTCCCCGATGTAGCTGGTTTTGATCTCTGAGGCTCAGCTATGTGGTCCACAAGGTCCTACCAGGCCTGGTAGCACCCCAGAAAGCACGGGCAATGCCATGGACCAATCGACCTCAAAAGACACAGAAAAGAGAGAGAGGGAGAGAGACTCTTGGTGTAAAATGCGCAGATTGGGGTCTATCAAATCTATCAACATCACAAAGGAACAAGAACGAAAACACCTCTGACAGAGCCTCTGACATCTGTGTGGGCATCCGAGTTTAAGCCATCTCCATAATATATACTACAGGTAGTTCCAGACACATCATCCGAACATCTCAGAATCGATCACCCTCACATGGCCCTCCAAGAAGACCCTCAGGGTCCAGACGACCAAACCCAATGGGTGCTCGCCTTCCCTGAAGTCCGCCTGCAGGTTGGGAGCTTTCACAATAAAACACTTACAAACTTACAATATTCAATAAACACGTTGGGTAGATCCCAGTACCAGTAACAGTGGATGATGACGGTTAGTAAAGGCCTTTCTCAAAAAGAGTGATGATTGTTTGCCGACCGTTGCAGGTTTCCTGGGACAAACCCCAAAATAAACATATGGGTGTTGATCAAAATAAAGGTATCTGAGGCAGCTACAATCGCCGATCAACCGCGATTCAATCGCGAACCCAACGGTGTCAATCGCGGGAGAGTGCTCTCGTATGCAACACTATTATTTTGCGCAAAGAATCATCGAAACATTTGCTACATATCACAATATTTAGAGACATGGCGTGAGCCAGGGCCTACTCAGGCGGGTTTAACAATCGCGGCACAATCGCGAACCAATCGCGGATTTCGTCGACCTTTTTTTGAGAATTGAATTGATCTGGGCTGGTAGACTTTAAACTTTGTTGTTCTGATTCTTCTTTGCTATTGGCTATCACTATTGAACACAGTGTCTAGGCAGACCCGAATACTACAGTGTAAGGCTGAACTGCAACATGATTATCATGCCATATAATATTGATTTCTCCTCTTACAATGGTCGAATCTGATACAAATGTTTGTCTCAATCGCGAACCAATCGCCGATCAACCGCGATGCAGGGTTTTACAATCGCAGATGCTGAGATACACATGCCCTTTCATAGTTCTTAGATGTGCATTTACGATCGGCTCCCATATACAGTAAGTGCGGATTTAAATAGGGCAATGTCCAACCATCGGGCCTTGGTTTTTTCCGTGTTCCAAGAAGTCTTGGGGGTCTCCAGATTCTGAATACACACCATGCATATTGGAGTGGAACATGCTTTTGAGAAGTTCTCTCCCAAAAACTCAAAGGAAACTCTGACATCTTCATTGGGGAGAGAGTGATGAATGCTGTGTTGTGCGCCTGTGATGAATTTGAGAAGAACCGCAACAACACGTTCCAGGGTCAACATGAAGCAGTCATGTTGACTCGCGAACACAACTGCATGTCTTCATCTTCATCCTTTATCATCCTTTGACCTTTGAAGCCGAGCCCAAAAAAAAGCGCGGCCACATCCACATCTTTTCTGCATGGTGTCTCCCCCTCAACCGTCACAGCGATGTTCGCTTTCTGCATAGCCGTCCCATGTTCCCTCTCGGTGCCTCAACGAAGCCTTGATCCATTTCCATCTTCCGCTTGCGCGAGGCTTCCGGCGGGGGACGTGCCCGCGTCTTGATGGCGTTCATCGGGAGCCTACACCGAAGAGAAACACCCAAAACGAAGAAACCAAAACAACTGCAAACACACACAACTGCGTACACCTACCTTTCGGCACCGGCAAACTGGCACGCGGACTTCGATTGGAAAAACCGGTCCAAAGCGGCTGAAGCTGTGCTGTGCAAACAACACGTTCAACGACTTCACCGAGACATGAGAGGAGCGGTTTTTTGGCGCGTTCCGTCAAAATGCATTCTTGTAATACATTATACATGTGGCACAAATAAAATTTTATCTATATACTATATACTATATGTGTTCTATATAAATGTTTTATAGTGTAGAATCTTGATGAATAAACCTCCCTCTACAATCCATGTCCGGTGGGGTTTGATGAATCAAACATAAAAGAAATATACTATCTGTAGGGAGTCCGCCTCCTTGGCTTCAAGCGCATTCTTCAGTGTCACAGTACTTTGTTCGATCTGTTGACATGTCTCATGCGAATGTCATACAACCATCTCTTGCTTTCACCTGTCGACCTCACGGATTGGAATCGGTCTTGCTCGTGTTTGGACAGCTTCCTTCCCGTGGTTTCCTTCTCCTTTCCGGGGAGATCGGACTCCTGTGACCGCTCGGGTGGTCTTCGTCTTGCCAGCACCGGTGGGCTGCAGTGACCCCTCGAGTCTACCACGAACGACTTCGTTTTGGCAGTGTGCTTTTTCTTTCCACAAGTCACCTATGCTGACTGGTAGTCTTAGTGAAAGACTCTTTCTTTTGGATACTCTTGAAGCTGTATCAGGAGAGTGCTCCATCAAACTCCCCCAGCCTGATTTCACCATGCTTCCGCCTGGCAACACTGGCAACACAAACATTCGGGGAAAAACGCGACATGCAACAGGCGGGCTAAGTTACCAAGAATGAAAGCGGGCCTCACTCCACTTCACAAAGTCTGAGCAAGCAGCCAAGGCTACTGGATCTATAGGTTGCAAGCACACTAATCCTGATAGTAATTCCCAACAAATGGAAGAGCTAGGCGTTTTCTACAGCTTTATGCGGATAGAGTATCGGAGGACACCGGGGATATCGCCGCTCTTTGGTACAGTGACAGCTCCCTGGAAACGAGTACTGGACTTTGCTATTCACTTAGGCAACTCATGTATCTCAAACGCTCCATGGTGACGCAGCAAAATAACCTACATTCCCCACAAAGAAACTAATGTAGCCTCCCTTTGCCTTTGCTTACACGGATCGTCTGGGTATGCTATCAAACCTTGTCTCTGACTCACTCAAAGATTCTGCCAAACCTTCGACAGGGGGATCTGGACAGTGGATTCTCGACGTTTTGAAAAAAATGAGGTATCTTCTGCCTGAATAGAGAGGCCTCTATCTTGTTCCAAAGAACATTGCTATGGATCACAACACGTGTGAGATTTCAATACCTCTTGAGGAGTTACACTATGTTCTTGTTTCTCAGTGGGTTTCATGGGACGATTGTCGTTTCTCCTACACTGGCGTGATATATCGACATGACTTGTGCCCTTTCCTTCACGGGCCAGGTCTGAAAGCTCAAAGGTCCCTATCATTTCGTCATCATTCTGGTTAAATGATGTGTATATTGGGATATACCATGTTTCAGTGAAGGTTCAGTTGCAGGCCGACATGTGAAAAACTAGTGGTTTCCTTGTTCACCGACCCTGAAAGGTTTCCCCCTGACAGACCGCTTTGAGTCAGTCCTTTGGAACATGTGCTCGGGACAGACCACCTTTTTGGTCGCGTCGACGAGGTGAATCGACCCTCAATCACTTCCGGCTTTATGCAAAACATACACCAAAACCAAAATAGTATACTATTACAAAGAAGTCTGCGTTGATCAAAGTAGTCTGTGGTATAAACCAAGACCAATCGCTTCAAGATCCAAGTAGTCTGCGTTGATCTTGACAAGACAAACATGGAGACATGTTGTTACTCCGATCGGTTCCTTGTCCAGCCTGGGCGGCTCAGTCGCATCTGCTGTCATGGGCCTGCCCTGAGACCATCCGGGAGAGATCCACTGATCCATTTTGATCGACTTCTATATTAAGATAAATGAACCGCAGCTTTCAAGCACTGGGACTGATTGGTTGGCGGGCTACCTCATGTTTAGTTAGATTATAACAGCGCACGAACAAAGCCTAACTTGTACTGATCTGAGTCATCTGCATTGGCGACTGCACTTGCACTGGTGGTCGCCATGGCAAGAGCAGCCAAGCACGGCAGCTACAGCAAAAGACCGGCGTGTGCGAAATGTGCTGTCGCGCAAAAGTATGTATGGATGCGGTCAGGGTCAAAGTGACTGACTAAGATTACATATGGCATAGACTTCTTGACAGATCAAAACGGTGCCTAAAATTACAACTTAAGAAATCCTAAGAATTAATCAAAGAACTACCCACTTTGACAGTGCAGTCTTTGGCACTTGGAACTGGCGCAAAGCTGCTTTGCAGCTGCGCTTGAGAGGACACTAGCACCGGGTTTCTGCCGGAATGCACATACACCGAATGCACAAATGCACACACGGAGACCAGTTTGGTGTATTTCAGCCTTTGGTGACGACTGGGTGCTGCGTGAGCAACAACCTCAGTGCTGAGCAGCTTCGCATGCGAAGGCTTCACATGCGGTTTTATGATGTAGTTATTTTCGTTGAATGGAGGCAGTAGCAAGAAGCTACTAGTAGCAAAGGGCATCGCTACTACGAGCAAGAAGCTACTAGTAGCTCCTGGCATTGCTTCTAGGAACAAGAAGCTACTAGGGTGGAGGCCATTGCTATTAGTTATTTGTAGCAAGAAACTACTAGTAGCTCCTGCCAATACTACTAGACACTACTAGTAACAATTGAAGCTACGCACTAGTAAGGATGCTGATTAATTATTGGGGAGGTTTGAGATAAAGCATCCCCAAACACTCCATGGCACTCCATGGATTGAATATGTACATCTATCAATCAAACATCCTAAAACATCCTAAAACCTCAGCTTCTGGGTCGATCTGCCAGTCCGATGGTCAGGGATCATTTGTTGAACCAATGCTTTCCATCGCGTTGACGGTGACGAAGCGGAACCTGTGCCACAGTGGAGCCCCGTCCGCCGCAGACGTCCGCCGTTCCGACGTCGGTGTCGACACCGGGGAGACACCGAAGGGTCTAAGTCCAATGCATCTCGCACACTGCTGAGATCTGCTTGTCCTGGCCCACACCAAAGCCATCAAAAAAAGAAGCCAAGAAAAACCGTGAAACCCACCATGCGATGACCAGCGAATACCAAGCTCCTGCTTCCAAATCCTGCTTCAAACGTTCATTCTCCAGCTCCAGCCTCTCACATGCCGCCTTCCAGCATCTCCATGAAAAATCAGCAAAAAGGCCCCCGCATCAGATCCAGCTCAATGATCCGAAATCCATAAGAATGTCTGACTGTAAACAATTAAACACAAATCTAACATTGATTGCGGGCCCGGTTCCTGAATTATCGTAATTAACGGTAATTAATGCATCAATTTCAACACACATGCTCAGTTGGACTTTTCCGTCAATCGCAGAATATTTGGACAATATGGCTAGCATGAACACAAATCACGTTTAATATCGGTTGATATTAAAAAAGAACAGCCATGCCAGGACATGTCGGTCACAATCAGTCATGTGTCATGCACATGTCTTAGTAGTTCGCAGGAACCCGCATTGCTTTTCTGCTTCGCGTGGCGCGGCGAAGCTCGCCGTGCTTTCATGGTTTCTGGATGATAGGTGCCTGTCGTGCTTTTCTGTGGTAAGTCGGTTTATATGAGCTTTGAGACCGCTCACCCTATCCGCAGGCAGCGGAATCCCATAACACAATAGACCCTACGTGAGAGCCACAAGGTTTTGAACAAGAACATACAAGAACCATGTCACTATAGCCGAAGCCAGCGCTATGTTCAGAGAAAAGTTTGGCCACAGAAATATGCAGCTCCTGAGACTCAGAAAGAATCCAAAAGCGTAACCACCGAAATTGTAATATCAGTCTCCTTTCTCTTCCTCCCTTTGGCCTCATTCTGCTCTCCCTCTCGCCCGCCTTGAGCGACGCGAGCTTCTGCTCGGAGGTGCCCTCAGGCTTCCCCCGTTTCAGGGAAAAGAGATGACTCTGTCTGTGTGACTGACCAGTGAATATCGAGTTGAACTGCAATGCTGAACCCAGATTGACTCACTGACTCAATACTTTGATTCGAGACTGCCACCTCTCTGAGTGCTCTTTCTTTTCTCCCTGATCTTACTCTTTGTAACGGGTCGACGAATCCAAATTGACCTTCACGCGGATTCACGCTCCGTGCACGCGAGGCTCAAGGGCCCTACTGGCTGAGAACGAGCGAGATCTGCCTCAGAATTACACAGGACCAGCAGGCGAGCGAGAAACTGTGCTGTCGCAACTCCCAAACTCACTCAGCAATCCATACCTTGCCAAAGAAACCCTGGGCCCATCCAGGATGGGCCCTTATTTGGCTTCACCGCTGGCATGGCTCATCTGTGAAGTGAGAAACCAAGCCATCCCCACTGGCGAGCCATTGGCCTTCCGGATGGAAAACCGCCTTTTGGGGTCTCAAGGTTCCCGCCCAGAAACCGGCTCTTTTCTGTAAGAACCCCTACCGGTACCCTACAAGTCCAGTCAAGACCTTGTAAAAGCTTTGTCTTTTACCTCATTTTTTCGGGTGTTTTTGGTATGACTACTGGTATGCGGTATGACTATATAACTCCAGCAAAACGAGGTGACTTGTATGTAGGGCCAGTGTTGCCAGGTCACTGACTTTGGAGAAAAAACCTACTGTCAAGGCTCCCCGTTCGCTAAGCTCCGCTCGACGCGCCGCTCCTGGCAAGGTGGGTCTACTGCTGGAAGAGTAGACTGGACCAGCAGTTGTCCGGTCTGAGTCAAGACTCCAACGCAGCACAGCTCTCTCTTTTTCTTCTCACATGCATTTGCATAGCACATTGATGCACATTGCATAACTCTCCAGACTGTTTTGAACACAATGCCCAGTTGGCATCTATTGGAATCTGCTTCGCTAGCTTCACGCGCTGCTTTTCACAACACGTTTTGCCGCCATCACATATTGAATCCTTAGGGTGGCTCCGGTGTGGATGGATTTCCACTATGGAAGCATCATGAAGCATCGACATATGCTGAGAAGAATGTTGACATGTGCCTCAAATGAATGAGTCGCCAGAGATGTAGGAACTTCCCCGTTGCTGACCTCAAAGCAAAATCACAGCAAATCACCGGCTTTGTAGAAGCCGGCTTAAAAGAAACATGCAGAAACTGAATTGCTCGTCTTCCAGTTCATTGGTGCCTTGGCTGTCTAGGCCTCTGTTTCGAGGTTTCTGAAGGGTCCGGATGGGTCCATCGCACTGGTTGATCAACCGACTCCTCGACCTATCAAAATAAACAATAAAAGACATCAAACGCCGGCTGTGCTGGGAACAAGAACTTTTTTGCTGGAAGAATCTCATGGAAACCGTTGGACAGTGGAAGAATAAACACTCCCTGTGCTTGGAAGTAGAACATGGCCCCGATTTCAGAGGATGACATCCAGCAAACAGGTGGATTTCACTCACTCCACTGCCATGATTGCTTCAGGGAGCGTAACCTGAGCTCCATGCTGGAATAGTAATTGGGGCCCATGGTGCGTGACCTCTGAGGCGGTGCAGGTCGGTAGCCTCGACATGACTCGGCGCAGGGTCAGGCTGCTCAATCGATGAATCCATGAAGGTCATGCCGGCCTGGAGGAGGTGGAGGACCTCGATGGATGCCAGAACAGTACGGTACGGGGCTTTCTTCAAGCCACACCCATCATGATCCAACACTCGATGTTCTTTTCGGTGTTTTTGTTTGTTTCAGGCTCATCGCAAAAAAAAAGGTTGTGCAAGGCAAGAGCAGCTGATTGAGGTGGTGGCCGTAGTATCCTTTGCCATATCCTTTGCCATGGCCATAGCCTTTACCTCAAAAAAACACATCTGGAGTGTATAGATCCATGAGATCCAAGACAACAATCCAAGACCACTGCCATATGCTGGTGCAGGTTGGGGAGGCGGAGCTTGAGCAGCTGCCGCTTCCTCCTAGGGTGCTGGGTGCGTCCAACAAAAGGGAACAGCATGGCCAAAACAAGAAAACAACATATATTTAATATGCAGCAAAAGGATACAAGTAGCTAAAGCCTAAAGCTGCAATAGCCTTGTCCAAATGCTAAAGCCTAAAGCTACAATAGCCTTGTCCAAATTAGGACAGCCAGGGTGGGGTGGCAATTGCAGTCAAAAAGTCAGCCACTCTGTTCTCAGCTCAGATTTGCTTCCATCACATCCCAAGATCCTCTCACAGCCACCTCTCTTGTTCTTATCTTGGAAAAAAAACACACACGCTCTCTCTCTCTCTCACACCCAGGCAGCTCCTCAGACTTTTCTTGCATCTTCTTTTGCGCCACATGTCCGGCAGCCCCACCGGCCGCCGCACCCATGAGCCCTGCCATCTTGCAGTTCATGTTGCAAATCTCCTGCCACCGGCGAACCCACCGACCAACCGACAGGCCACCTGGTCCCTCGAAACTGGGCCTCTAGGGATTGTTTCTTTGGTCCCCGGGTCCCCCGAACAGGAGGATTCGGGGATTCGGCGCTCTCCGGGGTGCCAGACCTCACGGAGGAACCCAAACGTCGCATCTGGGCCGTTGAAATGGGAGGAGAAAGATGCCTGAAGAGATAGGTTTCACATTGACATGTGGAGGAGCTCAGGAATGGACCTGGTCAGCAGGAATGGACCGAATTGGGCGGACGAGGGGGGAGCAGTTTGACTTCTAGTATATAATTCCCTTCTATAGTATGTTTTTGTCCCAGTCAGGAACAAAACATGGCGAATTTCAGCCTGAAACTGTACTTGACAACATTCCAGGATCTACTGATTGTTCGATTGTTCTTGTTCCGATCCCCCCTTTATGCAACAAAGAGAGAGGGAGAGAGAGACACGCAAAAAAAAAGCTAACTAAAAAAACATACATAAACACTATTCGCGGGAGGTGCACTGATTAGATGGAAAGTGGAGGAAGGAGCCTCGGGTTCAATCTTTCTGTTGTTTTCTCCATTTGCATTTATCTTCTATACTGAATCTACTGAACATCTCGACTCACCGCTCTGGGCCCTCGTGGCGCACAGGGGCGCCCAGGAGCGCACACGGCACGGTCAAGGCCTTCTCAATGTAATTCAGTTGCTTCTGCATCTTTTCTTCAGGATCCTGCGCTATCAATCCCGCCAAAAACAGCGAGCAGTTGGTCATTTCACTTGAAAGAAAAGAAGACGACAGGCCAAACGAAATGTCCTAAGAACATCTAAGAACTCCAACCCAAACAGCTTACACCAAACACTTTACCATGATCCACCATTCACGCCATCTCTCTCTCCATCGCCCAACCGTGGAAAAACCGCCCGTTGACCTTCTCTCTGTCTCGGTCCTTGGCGTCGTCGGCGTCTTTCTCTTCTTTGTCAGAGCCAAAGGGCATCAAATTCATGGGGTTCATCGAGCCCAACATGCCTCCAAGCGATCCTCCTGCCAGGAAGAGAATGCGACTGATGCCCCGTGTCTGCTCTGTCTGCTGCACATGCCACGTGTGTGTGTGTGTGTGTGTGTGTCTGTGTCTGTGTGTGTGTGCATGTGATTGCATGTGTGTGTGCGTGTGTGGGTGTGCTCTTCCGCATTGCACAGGCAGCAGCAAACAGAACGTGCCGTTTTGGGGGGCACCACATTCATGCAGCATGGCTCTAACACCATGTTTGGAGATGGGACAATCCCAAACAGTGTGATCCCGGCCCGCGCCTATCCCGCCGGGGCATTTGGCCCTGGGAGCAGCACGGGGCTCCGGGCTCCAGGTGCGAAGAAGTGGGTTTGGCTCCAAATCCCAGTCGTCGCGGGACATGTGTGGCCCATTTGGGCATCTTTGGAACGAAAAGACAAGCCCAACATGATTTACGGGTTCCGGGTGGTTGGGTGTGCGAAAACACGCGTGTCCTCAGTTCTGAAGTCTTGAAGTATTCAAAGGGTCTTCTGAACTACTCACTGCAAGATTGAAACTGTAGTTGATGCTACAAGGCGCAGAACTTCTGTCAGGCCTTCTACAGTGTGAAGCATTTTTTTGTTGGATGCCCCGTATCATGTCCAAGGAAAACCCAAAATCAAAGTCTTGGATAAAACGCCTGTGTATAAAGTACATGTTGACAGCGACTCAAATGCGCAGGACCTTTGCAATTGTGCTTCTACTAGTATCAAAACGAACTGAGGCTGGCACGCGCAAAGCATGAAGGCTCCCATGCCGCCTGCTGCTGCACCAATGCCAGCGCCCATGCCAAGAAAGGCCGTGCGCTCCTAGCAAACACCCTTGTTTGTCTTACAAAACCAGAAACTCCAACGGAGGAAAAGGGAGCCCTTTCTACAGATCGCCACAATCCCCTCCCTACACTGCCACAATCTTTGGATGCAGGTTTGTCATGGCTTGTCATGAACATGCCAGAACCATTTTGACCCCTACACCAAACACTGGCTTTCCGGCGCCGAGCCGGACATGCTCTGCTGCGTCCTCGACGTCAGACACTAGGAGGCCATCATCCGTCAATCTCGAACGAACCAGCGCATACATCAGCTCCTTGGGTCGCGTGGTGGCTGCGGGGCAAAGGCAGGCAAGGCAGGCCGACGGAGACGTCCGATGGACAGTGGTATATAGTTAGTGGTACCACACGTGGGGCAGTAGAAGTAGCACCCTGAAACACGAGTGCCTTCAGACCTTTCAGCTGAGCTGTACCTCAACAAAAATCCAGGTTCCTGGTCAACGAGTCCTCAGACTAGTCCTTTTGTCCACCGCTTTTGGCGACGGCCGAAGCATCGACTAATGCCGTGCAGTTGAAGGGCTCGTGCACGGCTTCATGCACAAGATCCGGAGCTGCAAACAACAGCCCCTTCCCGCCCGGAGGCGTGACCCCCCCCCGGCTAGACCTATCCTTCTCAGCCGAGGTCTTGAACCGAAAACATCCGAAAACGACACATGTGAAAGATATCAGGAAAATCGGTCACAGGCATGATAAGCAGAAGCTTCAGTTGTGCAGAGCAACATCAGTGCCACATGATTCGAAAGCATCGTCAATGCTCCTCCAAACCAGCTTGATGATAGCTTCGTTCCTTTGCATGCATGGGCACAATATGGCACATGCAATATGAATCTTTAAGATAGCCGTAGCTGAGTCTCAAGAGATGTCCGGATCAATGTTCAAACATGCTCGTCAGCGAGTACGATCATTTCTCCGCTTGACAAATAGCTCGGGTCTTAGGTCGCTTGCCATGACGTTCGCGTCAGTGGAAGAAAAAAGGCAACTCAAAGAGGCCAAGCAACACCTCAAAGAGGCCAACTGATGTTCCACTCAACTCTCTCTGACGAATTCCGGATGCTTCCTAGGATGAGCTCGCTCGACCGCACCACCGTACCACCGTCCCCGTGGGACGGAGATCAACAGCCGCTAGCTCGTACCGGTACGAGAACGCTGAACGTACCGGTTATGACAGGTCGAAGGATGCTTCGCAAAACCGGGAAAAAACAATGCATGCAGACACATTGCAATGCCTTCCTTGCTGAACCATGTTCCAGGTGCGCCAACGTGCACGTACATGGTTCATGTATACGGGGCCCGGGGGAACCGCGATGTCCATCCAACGATCGATGGTTCGTCTTCTCATGGCTTTTGCAAGACCGCTGCATGTTCATAGACTCTTAGCAGCTGGAAGTTCGCCACTAAGTGAGGCCAGCGCACAGGTCCATAGACCCTGCCCAAGGGCCAACGAAGCATGTCAGCTGATTGCATGGCTGGTGCGATGAGAATCCCACGACTGCGAAGCAAACACCAGGCGACTTGCGCTTGTTGGAGATCGGCATTGGGATGCAACATATCTCCGTGTCGTCCCAGGCCTGCAGTACTTGAGCCCATGAGCACAAGTCCATGGAATGGAGCTTCTAGAATGGCCTGCTCTAGGGTCAAAGGTGTCAACTGTGGATGTAGCGAGTTGTTGTAGCGTTCCGGCTTCGGAACGATGGAGGTGACACTTCTGGCGCCAAAGGATAAGAGCAATGCTTCCATCCAAGGTTTCCACCATTCAAAATGCTTGTTATCGCCCCAAACAACCCAGTGTTGCTCTTGCAGCAAGCTTGGTAAATCAGCCAGCACTTCGGTCAAGCCCTTGACTCGCGGGAAGGAAGTGGGGCCCGGGGCCAGCTGGTAGTTGTATGCACGGCGAATCAGATCTTCAATGGCCTGCCAGCTCCAGGCCCATTCAGACTCAACCTCTTCCTTGGGAGCTTTCCCGCCCACAAAGCCCAAGGCACGCCTCGTCGCGGAATGGGAAATCACCGGAATCCTCCCTTGCATGGTGAACTGGTCTCTCATACCTGGAGGAATGCTTGGTGGTGGCACCAAAGTGCGCGTCTCGGGACTCACGCCCCACTTGAATGCCGAACTCTCCCACCAGCCAGGGTGCAGCAGTTCATGGCAGTTCACCTCCTTCCTCAAGGGCAAGCCATCCTCAGCTGACTTTGAACCGCTGCTGTTACCACTGCCCAAAGACTCCTCCTTTCGCCGCTCCTGGTCCAACTGGCTGATTTGCTTCGAGTAGAGGGCGTCCAGCATCGCATCACGGAAACCTTCCAGGTCCCGGTGCAGCTGCTCCAGCGCCTGCAGCGCGCCGCTTTCCGACGTCGACACATGGACGAAGTCCAGCAAGGTCACAAAGACCTCGGGTGGCCATTGGTCCAAAGAGGCGCAAAGGTCTGGTGATACCAAAGGATCCGCGGCGGAAGGATCTTTTTGAGACCCTGAAAGGTGGGAGGTGTGGGAAGTGTCAATGATTTCAAGCCATCGAGCTCGATTGGACAAGCTGGTCCTTTGTGTTTCAAAGACACGCCAGTCAGCTTCAACGACCTCACTCTGTTGATGGCAAGCTTGGACGTCAACGTTGCACAGCTGCGCTCGGAGGGCGGTCCCAATCCAGAACTTGTGCAACGAGTTTAAGACCTCTTGTACCACAGCACATGCTTGGTAAAATAGAACCCAATCAATGGATCCATCCAGCTCGCCCAGGTCGCCCTGGTTGACCAGATCGACATCACACACTTGCCATCGTTCCAAACAGCAAGTCTCGAATGAAAGGGGTGGAGCGATCCAACAGCTGGGATTGCCCAAAGGCCCATGCTCCGGTGCGCAGCAGGTCTCGTAGTCTGCCACCACCCAGCACACTGCTTCACCATACTGAACCCAAGTACTGACCTCATCAATGGGCCGAGAATGTCCAATCCATGGGCGACTGAGCAGCAAGCTCCACCACTTCATGAAGGTCTTAGATGTTGAGATCGTCCCCAGATGTGTCACAAATGTCCCGGCCGGGCTAAAAAAACCGATCAAACCTCTGGAACGTCGAATTGGTGGGGCAATGCCCACCCTTTCTATTTTGGGTCCCCCCGGTAGTTTAAGGATGTTCCCCTTGGTGTGAAAACCAGATCCAGGCCTGGCCTGGATTGCTCATGGATCAAATGAATCAAAGAACGATGAGGAATCAATCGCTCAATCGGAACGATTTGCCTTTTGGGCTGGGTCCGATGTCTTACTGTCAGAAGTTTGGACGGATGGAACAGCGCCGCGACGCGCTGCAATAGGTCTGGTATATATGTCGGTGGAAGGGTTTCGGACGAGTTGACACAATTCTTGGAGGGTTCTTCGGCAACTTGAAAGTGTAGTGTATCGAACAGTATTGAAAGTATTGTTAAAAGTACCCATCTGGTCCTTGAACACATTCTTGTGTCTAAAAGTAGGCCTGTGGGCTAGCTGACTTCGAGATCTTCGGGCAAAGTCACCTGTCTTCGACCATGGAGGCAAAGAACATCGAAGAACAGTCTTTATGGCCTTCGGCTTCTTGAAGTCTTCATTTCATGAAGGAATTAATTACAGTACTTATTGACTTATTGCAAACCTCGCTATGAGCTTGAACAGAAATGGCAAGTCACACAGTCACATTCTTTTGACTCGTACTACATTCACTTGCAAAAAGAATCTGCACCCGTGCGGAATCCCGCAAACGATCTCAAGCAGTCACCGGCTCAGCGGTCGCCAGCAGGTACCCTATCTGAGTGCTGGTCCAAGCGCTTGTTTTCCCGGCGCAAGCGCCCGGATTCCTCCTGGTCCGGAGGTCTGAAACGTCCTCGTTGGTGTCGTTTCAAGAAACACACACACACATGGTGCTGCAGTTGTGGGGGGCGGTCTACATCTTTGGGCACACGCAGTATTATACTCTAATTATGTTCAATAGTCTTTGTATGTCTTTGTTGACACAACGTGATGACATATGAAATGACAATAGACAATGAGGTGTTTTTGTACTTTCGTTCTCTTTCGATCACCACATGCTGCGCCCATGCTTCGCCTGCATACTTCGAAGCCACTGTTGATGCCTCGTCGGCCCGGCCCGGCTCAGGACCGGAGACCTTTTAGGACCGTCTGCACTGGGATCCCGACCCTTTTCAAGAAGGCGGGACTCTTCTTCTACTCTTCCCAGACGCTCCATGTCTGTCATAATATGCCTACATTGACCCCTCAAACCACCCCAACTGATCGGCAGATATGGCAGTCCATGGAGTGTCTGAGACTCTCTGTATTGTTTCAGAAACCTCTCGCCTCAAGCGACTCTCGCGGAGGTCGGCATTCGCCGCAGCAGACTCCGAAGCCGCCGTCTGGTGGTGTTCGGAAAAACAGCGAACGGATTATTCTGCCGTTTGGTCTGTGACAAACATGCCTTGAAACGAGCTGAATCTGGATTCAAAGTTAATATGGCATATGGAGTCATATGGCAGAGTCAGCTAATATGTAGTTGAATTTGGCAAGTTGGAACATGTTGCAACTGTCTTGGAATCTTGAGTCTTGGATCTGCAATGATCTGCATCCCATTGGATCCCTCTTTTCCGGAAGATTTTAGATTTTTGAGTTTGAATGTCATTGCATGTCACATTGAATGTCAAATTCGTTGACAAATGTCAAAGAATGAACCCTCTACAGTTTAGATATTATATTTATATATAATATGCCCTCTTTGTTTTGGCCGACAACACTTTCTGCATTCGACATGGCTTCTTCGTCGTTTTGTTCCACGCAGGACGACCACATTTTTTTCCCGACGATCCACGTGGAACGACGCGATCCACGTGGGAGACGTCCAATGGAGGGAGTCGTTCCACCCGGTGATGCCCTGTACGGAATAATGGAGGGATGGACGGGATGGATGTATATACCCAATGTACCTATTAGATACTGTAGGCCATTGCTAGTAGGGTGGAGGCCATTGCTAGTAGGGTGGAGGCCATTGTTAGTAGGGTGGAGGCCTATTAGGTGGTTCAAGGCCTGGGGGCATTCAATGCCCCCAACCGCCGCAGTTCAGGGCATCTCACCGCCGTCGCACCTGAATTTGAAGGTCGGCCTGACGAAGTTCCTCTCTCAAGACGGTCGCCTTCGACGGCTGTCGAAGTCGAAAACCAGGCCACGATGGGACGCTCCGGACTGATTCGAACACCGGGGACCATCCAAAATGACCTAGATGACCCCAAAAGCTTATTACTATGGACCCACTTCTAGTTCCATCTAGTTCCATCATAATGGGGCAAGTTGTCTTTCAGGATCTTGCAAAGCTTCATTTTTGGGCGCTTATTTTGTAGAAGCAGTGGCTAAAAGCACGAGTCATTCAAAATCTGCTGATATAGCTTTGTGCCTCCGCTTGCAGTGCATCAATTCTCGAAATGACCTGGGACTGCTCAAGCAACTAGTGACAAGGACGCTACTAGTAGCTCCTGGCATCGCCACTAGGAACAAGAAGCTACCAGGAACAAAGGGCATCGCTTCATGTCGCTCTCTCTTAATGGGGCGTCGAACAGCGGGATCTTCCAGCGGCGGTGTGGCCTTCCTGGCGTATGCCTTGCACTGAGATGTCTGGAAGAACATGCTCATCAATTTCCAGCTATGTCCAGCTACTGGTCCAGCTACTGCTGGTGCGCAGCCAATCTGCTGTGGACTGAGATGCGATAGGGAGGCCAGGATCTCGCCTCCAGGTATCTTCTAGGTGAAGGATCTCGCCTCACCGGGCTGGTTCAACCCCCCCAAAAAAATGGTCTTCTTCCTTTTCGCATGGACTGAACCCAAACATCTAGCGGATAAAAGCATTCAACATGTCATGGTTTTGGATGTTGTGAACCCATGTGAACCCCGTGTTGCTTACGTGAACCCCTCGCCCTATCGGGGGCGCACGCAACACGCCCTGGCCGAGCGGTCCGGTCCTTCCGTCATGAGACGTGAGACATGTCAGCGACAGCCGCGCCCGCGCCGGCTGTGCCTCGCCAGCTCCCGGGGCTCGGCCTTCTGTGACCGCTCGGCCAGGTCCGCCGCAGCCTGACCACGACTGCCCAGGGGTCTTCCATGACTCAACAAGACCAGGGCGAAAGACCAGAAAATCAGGGCGAAAGACTTTCACTGTACTCAAACTCTTGACATCTCTTGACTCGACATCAACGTCGAGTCCAACTCACGGGCCTAAAGACTCGCTGTCGATGCAATGTCTCGAAACCGGCGACGCCTTCAGCAAGTTTTCGGAGGACGGGAGTGCCTCTGGGCCAAGTCGACGCAAAAGCCATGACAAGAGTGGGAGGTTCTTTTGTATTGTGGCTTACAAATGCTTATAGAACTTAACTATACTATATACGTTCTATAGTGGTGGTATCATGGCGTTGGAGTCTTTTTCGGAGGTTGTGATTGGCCTATAGAACAATGGGGGGGTTGTGCTCTGAGTGACCATCGCGCCTTTCCTCCATCTGGCTCGCCCTGCCTCAAATAACATCACAGAAAGATCCGGAATCCACTGCCCAAGAATTCCAAGTCATCCGGGCAATCGCTTGCTTCACCATGTCCATTGTCCATGTCACTTGGCTTGTTTGCAGGCTTCGGGTCAGCGCACACATCGCCATGCAGGAGTAAACTTCCTACCTAGTGACGACCGCAAACGAAACCCTTGAAAAGAGATTTGGGGTTATTTAACGCCCGAAGGACTTTGCCTTCACATGCGCTGTTTTAGCGCTTTGGCACCCCTTCTGGCTGTCTGGCACATGCACCAGAACAGTCTTGATCCTTGACCAGGGCCTCGGCCTCCTCGTTTCGGTACTGTTAAAGACCCCGCAGCCCCGGGGCCCTGATGATCATCCGTCATCTTGCACTCAGGCTGGACACCTGACGCTCCACATCTTGCGCCGCCTCGGAGCTGCCACCGTTTCGTCACGCGGGAAAAACATCGAGACTGCCAGGGTGAGGGTTCAAAACATAATATAAGGAAATTGATGGAAATTGACATCAACATACATCAACAAACTATTCCCTACAGGGTACCAAAAGAACCTTCCAGTGCGCTTTTTTTGCAGGCGCAGCTTTGTGTGCAGATTTTGTGGCAGCAGCTGCAGCACTTGGTGGACCTCGAAGTGCAGATTTTGTAGCAGGCGCAGCACTTTGTGAGTCGCAAATCAAATGGACAATTTTCTGCCATATATAGTTAATATTTCGAAGTACGTGCGCTCATGTGTTCTCTCTCATATTGTGCTTCCACGGAGTGCTGCCATGAAAGACACTGACCCAAACAAGAGAAACAACATGATAGGAGGTGACGAAAGGACCAGGCAAGCAAAGACACCAGAAAGCCAAAGCCAACCAAGAATCAGTGTTGAAAAGGAAATACTGTTTTGTATTGCAGGGGGCATACAGTGGGTTGACCTTGGAAGGGTACTTGTTTGTGGCAGGCACGCGATATTTTTCTGGGTAGTATGTGGCGGGCAAACCTTCAGATATTCTGTGTTGTTTTTCGTGGCACGCATAATGGTTTTGGAAGAAAAGTAGTGCACATTTCCTGGTGCTGGAGGTTGGGAGGGCGCAGCCCTTCCTCCCTCAGAGCAAATCAAAAGATACAAGCCAATTTGCGGCTGCAAATTCACAATCTCCAGGGTTCAAACGTTTGCTAAATCTTTGTGGAACTCGCCTGGAACTCGTTATATTTGTGAAAAAACATCATTCTGCAACGCCCGCCCCTTTTTTGTTGACCATTAATGGATGCCAACGGACTATAATGGAAGGAGTAAGAGACCGAGAAGCATAAATGGCAAGGGCAAGACTGAAGGGGACCAGAACAGGGGACCAGCGGACCAGGAGACTAGCGCACCACCGGTCACCGGACGGCACAAAGTCGCATCCCAGGTACAAAGCTCCAGCATGCAAGAATTTGAAAGGATCTCCCAGTTGGTCCATTGGTGTCCGTTCAAATTGTCAATCCCTCATTCCGATTTTCGAATATGCGCATGCGTATGCATGAGTCAAAAAAATGAGTCGAGTCTGAGACTCTTGATGAAGCAACCCCAACCAAAAGATGCTCCCAAGACTGTCGACACCATTTCCAGTGTTGTCACCCGTTTTCCGTGGTGGCCATGGTCATCCCAGATTTCAGATTATGGGTGGAAGCCGAAGATTCCGAAGACATTGCCAATCCTGGCCAAATGGCCTCATGAACAAGACGATTGGCGCTACTTTCGGGACTTCTTCACCAAGCTTTGCTGGAAAGCTGATAGTGATGCTAGTGTTTCAACTGCAGAACTTGCGTGCCTGTTTTGGTGGCGTGGGAACAAGCATTCCCAGCTGGAGGCATCCGTGAGCCTTTTTCAGCACCTCATTCTCGTTTTCCGTGCTATGCTCAAGTGTTTGACCCCTTCAGAAAATTGCCAACCATATCCTGGCTCTCTTGATTCCAAACGGAACAAGTGCTGTGCTCGTGAGCTCCAGAAGGGTGTTTTCCTGGGTGTTGATGTGTCGACGGATGATGAACGCTTGCAGCTTGTACGGCTTTTCGATGACGGTGCAGGCCGTAACATTTCGACTTGGGACTCTGTTCTACTGGTGCAACAACTCGGTGCTGCAGAGTGGCTTTGGTGGCGTGCGTTCTCAGTTTTGTGCGATGGTGGAATCACCCCCATTGGAACAGCCTCTTCAATCCTCTTCATGGATGTTCCATATATGGGGCGTTATTCATATTGGGTAATTGGGTTCTTGGGGGTTATTAGGTTATTCATTGGGTTATTCATCAAGAGTCGACTCAAGTGGCCTGTCTTGGTCGTTGACCTGTTGACCACCAAGTGGCCCGATGGGTCGTTCGCGCGCGAGTGAGGATGGCAGCCAAGGGAGACAGCGCCTGCAGAGCGAGGTTGGAAGGTTTGGTGTTATTGGAATTATGGTCCTCTCACTCTGAGAGGGGTGGTAACCTGGTTGCAGAAAGGTCTCTACTCTATTCAATGGAGATTTATAGACCTTTGACATTCTTTGACCATCCCCTTGAAGCTCCTTTAGCCCCCTGCAACGAAA